CCTACAGGTGATTGAATTCAAGTTCAGTCAGGGTAAACTTAAATATTTTAGACAGACTTTGACGGAGGTGTTTATTGTCCTCTGGCCAGAATAGGTGGAAAGAGGGAAGGTGTTTCGTGACAATTTCTTAGAGATATACGTTCTAACGCCTGAGGCCGGTGGAATTCCGTACTCCTAGCCCCCCGACCTAAGCCTGTCACCTTGGAGTGGTGGTCGGGTTTGAGTGCCGTAATCACCCTGCGGACAGCACCGAAAAACTTTGTTTCACAGGGTGCAACCTTGCCAAGAATGTCAAGGGACACAGTTAGACCAAGATCGGCGTGACCCGGTGATCATATTACGTGTTAGTTTTGCTTCTTAAAGCGTCAAGGATAAGATCAACGCTTTCGGATTTCAGTCTCCGTGTTCAGTATAAATAATATACTCATTCAGCTATAACACCCTTTCGGTGCCTAGCTGCAATGCCACCCGAAAGAAGCACCAGGGCTGGGATGCTGACAGGTTTTTCAAACCTAGACGGGAAGTCGAGAGGTAGGGGTCGGGTTCGTATACACGCGCTCTACCCACTTGAGCCACCTCGTATGTTCGGTGATCCTAAAGCGATGACTATTAGGACATGTGGCGTGGGAGTTGCACTCAACCCCAGAGCTGATCACGCTTTGCTGGATCAGATCCCAGTGAACAGTCATCTTTGCGCCGTCCGGTTATCCAGCTCACTGCCTTGACACAAGAAAACTTGCCTGTTTGTAGTGTCGGTATATGACTCAACGTGCTGCAGTTCTGATGCCGAGGAGGATACTTTCTATCGAGAGACATCCGGGCTCATTCATCAAGCAACAAGCACTGACATTGTGATCCCCGCGGGCGATATAAATGCCCAAGTCGGTGGATAAGTTCTTTGAACTCGCGTCTAGACGGTCGATTTCGGAGTTCCTGCTAGTCGCACAGACAACGGAGAGCGACTCCACGAATTGTGTGCTGGTCATCAACTGTTTCTGGTAAGCGGAAGTTTCCAGCATAAAAACCTGGAGGCCACCAAGTGCAAATTAACTATGGACCCAATGGGATCACGTGGTAATAAGCCACCGGTGAAGATCCACAACCAAATACTGCCGTCCCTTCTGAGCACAGCCTGATTAATATGATTCCATGGTGAGAACACACCTGACATTTCGTATCCCTTCAAGCCCTCGCAAGTCAGCCAGAAACATGCCAATCCACCATCTTTGAAAAACCATCATAGCTCAGTGGCAGAGCTAGCCCAGCTACCTTCCACAGTAAACCGATATGAAATGGTGTCGAGCATGTCGATAAAGTATGGCTGAATGTGGAACGAGCTATGTTATAGGCATTCTAAGCTATCTGTCTGACTTTCAGATCTCTCAAGCACTAAGTAGTAAACTGTTTAAGGAAACCTTGGGAGCGTTGATGGATAATGAAGGCACAAGCAATGGAGAAGGTTTTTGCCACGGGAAACAATGCCATTTACGAGTCGATACAACCGATTGACCAAAAGAAAGCAACAGTCCTTGAAACGACAAGCGAAAAAGATAACCCATTGATTCACTCGCAAAAAAGCTGACTGGAAAGGTTAGTCGAACACTTCGACTCAGCCTTCGGCAACTCAGCCAATGCATGCCGATGAATGGAATGGAAACCTCAGCCCCCCATCGGAAGAAGAAGCAAGGTACGAAATATGCTGGCTGAGTCGTGAGAAGGCACTAGGGCCGAACGGCCTTCATGCGGCTCTCTTTAACTGAGGGGGAGAAGTCCTGGTTATGCATGTCAGGTGTTTGTGCTTTATGGGGTGAAGAGAAGGTGCCTACAGACTAGCGTACATCGACAACCATCAATTTGTACTTTATGGGGTGAAGAGAAGGTGTCTACAGACTAGCGTACATCGACAACCATCACTACCTTCAAAGAGGGGATTGGAGTTCTACCAAAAGGGTGAGATAGCTCGAGTAGTTAGCGCGAATTTACTGACCGGAAGATCCGTGGTTCGAACCCGACCCCTGCCTCTCGACGTTCCCTATCTAGGTATGGGCAGCCTGGAAGTATCCCAGCACTCATGCTTCCTTCGGGTAGCATGACAGTTAGGCATCGGAGGGGTGCTACAGCTGAACGAAAGCCTTCACACCCAGATATCATGTACGCGGACGATATAAATGTTCTCTTATCTTTCGCCATCGTAATGCAGGTGGTATTAACTAGTCTACCTAGTTCTGCCTCGGTTTGGTGTGCGCTTCACACCTAAATGTAGAGTGCTGCTACAAGGTTTGTGGTGCCGTTTATCCCAAGAATGCCGACCATGAGCGTATGCTACATCCTGAAGCACCAACATGAGTATGCTGCCTTAGATTTCTACCGACATATTCGGAGGGACCTGGTAACAATGCCGCAGTCTGGTTTGTGCAGACTGTAGGGCTGAGGATACTGGGGAGATCGCTTAGTCCCTTGACTACGAATAGCTGATCTTTGTTATTTGGAGCCCAGATTCGTCCCGTGTTATTATTTCGTCTCTCAAAAGAGGCAAGAATGTGGTCATAGGGACTTGAGATAGCTCAATGGTTAAGCCGCCAGCCGTTATATCCTCTTTAATGATATATCAGTCAGACACATTGGATCACTTGAACAGAAAAGGCAAATGATTTCGAGAAAGTTATACTTCAAACAAGTGGATATTTCCGTGGTATGGAATTCAACCGAAACAGAATATAAAAAGAGCTAACGGTCCATTAGGATGTCATTGAGAGGCTGAAATGTAGAAACAAGACTTCAGTATACGAGACAAACCATTAGTAAAATGGATTTGTTCGTCTCGAGGTAGTCCTCCTAACATCTCCCCTTTGAAGTGCTCGGTCGTAGGACTGCTGCTGAGGGTTGAGGTGCATTGGTATGACAGGCATTCGTATTCGATCGGCCCATCTTCTAGGTGCGCAAGTTTTGAAAATTGCTGGTTCGTTCATCGACTCTGGAGATTTTGGCTTTTCAGCTAACTCACATGTGTCGAGAAGAATCTCCAGTGGAAGAGCAGGGTCGAGTGTAGCTGCCGCTGCAAGATAGGAAGCGCATGCTTCGAAGGCAAAGCACCCAGCTAAACGGAGCGTTTTCCCAGGCGAAATAAATGAAATTGGAGACCTTCGCAGTGGCATCCTTACAAACACGAATACAGCACGTTGTTTATCGGGATGTCAGTACAAAGTTCCGAAGGTTAGGTAAACGTCTGGAAAATGATAAGTTTTGTTATTAGAAATACGTGTACCTGTTGCTCATACTGTGCAATGTTTCCTCTGACTGCAACCGGCATGAATCACGTATTCGTCATATGGGTGACCCGAAGTGAACCGATTCTCATCTGCATCTTTGAGAGTTTTCGTTTCCTGTCCGAGACATGATCAGTTCCTGCAGTGTGAATCGTCGGTGTGTGCGCCTTATCGTAGTAACAGCGGCAGTAGTAAACGTCGGATATTGTTGTCTTAGCTCATTACAACTTGTGTGTCGCCCACAGCATTTGCTTGCACCTTAGATGCCTTGGGGATCTAATATGTAATAAAAGCCACTATTTGGATGGATCCCACATCAATGCCTTTCAGTTCATCCTCTCAGGATGGATAGAGGTCAATCATTCTAGATGTGCTCGCAGTTTCTGAAGTAGTAAAACACATTTTTGCCTTGAGAAATCATGAAGCAGCTGGGCCGATGCTGTTTAAAGTGGGTAGTGTCATGATGTGGCGGTTTATGTAACTTCATGGTCCACTAAACTGCACGAGGGGTGGGTTTGCACTGACAGTTTGTCATACAAGATTCTTGAGTTAATATGCTTCTGACAAGCCCTAAAAACTGTACTCTTGCATTATGCCTGTACCCACCTCATTTACCGCACTGCAGGAAAGACCGCGCGAAGGCCACTCACAAGACGGCTACTAACAAGCGATCGATTTTCCCATTTTGAGTCGGAACGGTGATACTGATACTGCTGATAAGGCGCTATAGGACTGGATTTTACAAACCAAGTTCCTCATGTCGCCCTAGTTTTGTTACTAATGTCTTACTTTGACCGACACCTAGGACATTTGTCATCCGACTACTTATTATGGCTGCATGTCCTTGCCGTGCGTCTTCATAAGAAAGCGTCCCCTATCACACCAACAAACTCCCGGTTGCTGTAACCTTAATCACTCAAATCCTGTTCAGATGTGCTCACCTGCGCGTAGTTCATAGTATGATGCTATTGACAAGACGTGTGACCAGCGTTAAGTGTTCCTGCGTGTTTAGCGTAGGGAAGGTTTCAGAACTGCCGTTTTGCCATGACTGGCCCCAGTGTCTGAGGATAGACCACTGTACCCCGTGTACTCCGGTCTCAGCCGGTAAAATTGGCTCTGTAACCCGTCCTATTTAGGTTCACAGGTTTGCATGTGGTCGATATGAACCACGTAAGGTACAGTAATACCTCGGGAATATGGCCCCAGACAATATGCATGCAACGAGCGGTTCGGGGTTACAGAGACATAGTAACAATGGATGATGATATAAAAAAGCGTCTTCAGAGTTTCCAAATCACTGTTTTTGATTATAGTTCACATTCTTTGTTTTATCCACAAAAGGAATTATGCTGTACACTTCAGCGCTTTTTGTCTGAGGAGGACAGTTCGATGAGGAGGAATCATAAATGGTCCGCATGTGGAGGAGTTTACACAGGTGGTTGTAGTATTTACGGCACTCAAGTGAGGAACTGAACTGTTTATTCCGACTGACTTCTTAGAAATCGAGTCATTCGACCGTTTTACGCTGACTAATCATTTCATCATATATATCTGTTTGTTACCTTACATCTTTATACCACTGTAGTTTTGATTCATAAGTTTGGTAATCTGTCGTTTATATTTTCATTCCGTAGGCTTAATCAGTTTTACTTGTTCTAACGGGTGATAACGCTCTCACGGCCACTAGAGTCTGCGAACCACTAGTACACATTAAGCACCCATAACCCCTACAGAATGACGGATGCAACCACATCGTTCGCTAACGCCATAGCGAATCGTGAGTTCTTCACATGGGAGCAGTTTGAATCAGCGCTGGCGCATTATATGGCCAAAAATTTCGTCGTTTTTTCCCGCGTCTCAAGCATCCGCAGTTCAGACGAATTGCTACGGTTTGACCGGGCCAGTTATCAATGCAAAATGCATGCGGCTCGAGCTGATGTGGGTGAAGGAATGGGTGTGATGCAGTAAGTTAGCTATAGAAATTATCTTTTTTATCCATCTCAGCAGTCGTTTACCTCCATGTACAGCCCGTTTCTATTTACGGCGCAAGAAAACACGTTTGGTTGTTACTTCATTCAACATGGATCACAATCATCCTGTTTCCAAAACACTGTATGACCATCTCCCAAGCACTGGGAGAATTAATAGTTCAGACCTAGAACGGCGTCGCCATTCGATAGACTACAACCTACCATGCTATGATAATCAAGACTTTGCGGGCGATAAGGAAATCACAACCATGGATATCCGGAGCTATCGTCGTCAGTCGAAACCAATTCCAGGTGGGTTAAATTCCTAAAGTAACACTGTTCTCGGTAGATGACATGCCTCCTCAACTGTACGAACTACCCATATTTGTCCGATGTCGAAAAAACCGAGCTGCTGTGGAAGGTTCAAAAGATGAATGATTTTTCGTACTTATATTTATTATTATGTAATTAACCCCTCATTACGCGCAGTCTCTTGTGAAAAATCCAATTACTGTGTCAACACTGTTCTTTTCTCTGAATGCTTAACAACGGAGGGTTGTTCTGAGTGCGTGATGGTTTCGTATTTGGGTTACATGGTTACGAAAATGCAGACCAATTTCTTTGATGTTGCTTAAGTCTTCTGCATCTCCGTCTTTTTGTCGTTCGCAATTCTCTTAATGTGCACATTCAGACTTTGTTGCACATATGAATTAAAGACTACACTTCTAACTACTAAAGTAGTCTGTTAGACACTTTGGGAAGATTAATTCATTGCTTCTGGAAGGGGACTGGCTCCCTGGACGGGGTTCACTTCATCAACCCACTTGTGCTCTACAAATAAGTCCTTTTATTCAGAAGTAACTGCCTTCATTCTTCTTTAATGTGACAGATTTTGAGGCTTTTAGAATTGTACCATGTGCCGGTTAAGTGACCAGATCTTCTCGCTGGGGGACGAAGATTCCCTTGTTGATCACTTTCAGAGCGCCGTTATCAGACAGTGATGCATATAAATGTGCGTATTCTGTTGCACCTGAACGGACCGATTGAATGGCGACTAACAACCATGTCTTGCAAAGCCTACAGCCAGGCACAGGGAAGATCATGTGGATTCCATTCAGGAAGACGAGACGCTGGACACTACCCGGACTCTTCGTAGTCTCTTTCAGACCTCTCTTAGACCAGAGACTGACTAATTTGCTTGCACAACTCTAAATTGGAAAACACAGTAAACCATGATTTGGCAGACAACACGTGACAATCGTCTCGGCTTTTAGTGCTGAACGTAATCGTCGACTCAAGTGCTTCCTTCACAGCCGAACATTCGCTTTCTAATTGTTTCGCTGTGTATTCGTTGTCACTGGGCTACACCAGCTACGGTTCTGTACAACGATTATCGAGTATCTGGAGATGTCTCAGTTCCACTACTTGTAGAAGCCATGTCTCAGCCATATAGTAAAGCAGTCCGTACTGCAGCCAGATACACGTTCCTTGAGATTCAGACGTATGCCACTTTGTTATGAGTCTCTAAACTGAAGAAACACCACGCGAACCTGCCGCTGTTGGTGTTGTTGCAACATCGGCTAGTCACACATGCAATAATGTTTGTTTCCGAAGCCGCCTGCTTATGATGAGTTATTGCGGAATGGTGCTTCTATTTCATGGCTACTGGTGTTCTTGCAAGCTAGTCACACATGCAATAATGTTTGTTTCCGAAGCCGCCTGCTTATGATGAGTTATTGCGGAATGGTGCTTCTATTTCATTTCATGTGG